CTCATGAACTTGAGTAGTTCCGAATTATGGGTTGCGTGCTCCATGTGTACCACACCTGCATTCTCACAAATACCACAGATTCGGACAGGATTATAATTACTAAATGACTGAGGTTGTCTCCATTCGTGTAATTGTATATGATAATGGACAGAATATGTTATGTAAAAGTATCTTTGGTGAGATTGTGCCATCTCGTGGATGTATAATTATTCATATAAATGAGCACGTATTCATTAATAAAGATTAATTTATAAGAGAGAAGTGTCTTGGATCTCCAAAGAGTCGAAACTCATTGTTTTAGTTCATTACAGTAAATATTAAAGACCTTATTACTGTGCATCGAAATTTTTGACTGTGTTTTTCAATTGTATTCGATGTATATTGAAGTAGTTTAATTGAAGGGCATTGGAAAAAAATATATTTTGCCAAGAAACATTGTATGGATGTTGTCACCAAAGTTTAACATAATCGCGTTCTCGGATTTCGAGAAAAAGAATTCATGAAGTTTTCCTTTTTTGTCGTCTTCAACATGAGCTCAAATATAAGTCGTTTAGGATTTACATCAACGATAAAACACCACTTGGTTTTTCTTGAGCAAAATTTTTTTATTTATATGCTTGTCAATATTTCGTCTCATCATGGAAGCCTTTTCAAGAATGTAAACACATTGACTTATACCTTAGCTTATTGTACATAAAATATAAAATACAATAAGGGTAAAGAAACAATTCGTGTACTACCTCTCACTTTTTTACGCAAAAACCTCACGCACTATAGACCAATAGTTTTATTTTATACACAAAGCATCTTATAAGTATAAAGTGGAAGTTCCGAGGAAGTTACTCTTTCCCATCAAATGTAAGTTGTCAATAATTTCGTAGATAAATGCCTATTGCGATTGATATTGCAATGATAATGTTTTGAAAAACTGATATGTTATTTTTGTTACCTTCATTGATATTCGTGCAAAGTTTCAACAAAATCGCTTTTGCAGGTATGAAGACATTTGCACAAATGTAAACAAATTCGTTTCCTGCTTGTATACTACATAAATGTGGGAGACAAGGACACACGGAGTACACTGACTGAATAGCTCGTGTATGGCGGTTTGCTCTTGTGCAAAAGCTACGATAAAGGTGCTTGGGGACGTTAAGTGTTCTATATGGGTAATATTATTAATTTACCTGAATTAGTTTGTTGATGTCGTCACGTTTAATGAAAATAAAGATAATCTTACAGGATAGAAAAATAAACATCTATTTTAACACTTTTATTCGTGTGGTAAAGAAAAATATTTTTTTGGTTTATTATGAGGATGTACAGATATTTTCTAATGCGGTACATGTATACTAGGTGTCAATTGTCTTTTATTTTTGTTGTAGTAAGTAGCTCTTATTTTTCTACAAATTTTAAAATTACTCATTGTTGAGATTTCATGACGATCGAAGTTGTTGGCCTCGAGATATTAACAAAAAACGTCACTCCGAAAATGGACCATTTTTCGAGGGCCATTTTAGAGGTTTTAATAGTTAAAAATTACAATGCCCAAAGCAGCATCGTAAAATTTAGGTCTCAACGAAAAAAATTAGCCCCGGAAAAATTGTTTTTGTCGACGGAAAAAGGCTCTAATTGCATTAAAAATTTTACGCAATATTAATAAACAAAAGCAATTCCTCGTCAACAAATGAATATTTTTCAACAAAAATTTTATGGCGTATAGAGGATCATAAAAGGCATATTCTCTAAAATTTTCAAGCACTTAAGAGCTTTTCTATTGAAATGAAAAATAAATTTAATTTTTGAAAATTTCGACACTAAATTGCAATTATTTTAATAAACAATTGATGAAATTTTATTTAACCGGCGATAAATTAACCGGATTTCTACAACGTACATACTGAATGTGGTCCGATACTTGCGCTTAACATATCATAGGAGTAAATTACGAAAAACTTTGTTTTCTTCGATTTTTGCATACAATAACGTCATTTTTCCATAGTGAGACACTTTCTAAATGGGATCAAATTCAGGACGATGTTTCTGAAACATTAACGAACACGTTCGTCTGTGCCAATATCTGTGCGTAATTAAGTCCACGTGTTTTCTAATTCCTCTGGCCTATATATATACCTCTTTGCTCTCGAATCTCTCGATGAGTACAAGGAAAAGCTAGGTAGACGATAACTTTCTTGTCTTCAGTTAGCGCCCACACAGAGCCCCATTACAAAATTACAATCCTAGCTTGGTCTTGGTACCACCTAGGCAACTTACATAGGCATAGGCCCCAGCTAACTAGCTTGGGAGCCGTGCTAATAGACCAAGAGCTGAGGCCGAAGGTTGGTCAAAATTTTAACCAGCCGCCACTCTTACCAGAATTGAGGAACCTTATGATTCGTAGAGATCCGAAATATTTCGGTCATATTTTATAGTGGTGAAGAGTGATGTGATAATTATAGTAGTGCTGTATAATCTTTTTTATTGACTAGCCGCAACTTACACCAATGGATAGAAACTAAAAAGTTTTTTTTGTAAAGGTGCCATTTGCGTCAAGATTAGAATGCATCTTGTACCCGAAAATCGACCTTTAAAAAATAGACTCCCTACCCGATCTTATCTACAATACTGATCTAAGATAATAGATGATTCATTGTAGATAACATTATTGATAAGAATACAATATCTATATTTTTGGAGGTCGATTTTCAGGTACAAGATGCATTCTAATCTTGCCACAAATGAAACTTCTAGTGACAACTTTATATTTTCTATCTTTAGGTGAAAATTGCGGCTGGTTAATAAAAGAGTCAATACGGCACTACTATAATTACCACACAACTACACCACTATAGAATATGTCCGAAGTATTTCAGATCTATACGAATCATTAGGTTCTTTTATTTTAGTGAGAGTGGCGGCTAGTAAATTTTGACCACCCTTCGGCCTCAGCTCTTGGTCTATGAGGCTCTTTTACAGTCAAGCTTGAATCAGATGGCGCCAGGGCACGTCGCGGCTGTCATGGCTGTCGCACTTACACACCGTCAAATTTACAGTTGTGTATTGTGTCCGTGAGCCTATCTGTGTGATGAGCAAAGCAGAAGACATAACCTTTGTAAATGATTGCTGTTGTTTGCACAAAAATTTTGTTTGCATTTACGTTTAAAGATAGTAGGAAAAATGAAGTGCAGTGTAATATCCTGCGATAAGAAAGTGAAATTTAAATTTCCTTCTGATGGTGCGATAAAAAAAAAGTGGCTCGAAGCAATTGGGAGACCAACATTTTTGCCGCTCCCAAGTCATGACTTATGCCTCGACCACTTTGCCTCCACGAGTTCTGCTTTTCTTCCACTGACTCTTGCTCCTTTCCCTTTTAAAAGCTTTTTCAATTCTGAAACTTTTAAGCTCCCATAATATTCTTTCTTGTCTTCCTTATTCATTTCAAAATTTCAAATATTGCGCTTTACCACTACACTTTAATTTCCTATATACATACAATACTGAAAAGTAATGTTGTGTGAGTGAGACGGCCATGACAGCCGCGACGTGCCCTGGCGCCATCTGATTCAAGCTTGACTGTAAAAGAGCCTCATAACCTTCCGATCGGGCGGGTAACGAACCCACCTGAACAACTCCATCTGTTGGACAAAGAACGTCACCAACAACTTCGTGCTCCACGCTCTACGCCCAAGGATCAGGTCATAACACGGAACACGGGTAATAATGGGTAGGGCCCAATCACTCTGGATAATATTGGAAGATGGTGTGTGCTGTCTACATCCGTGCGCTTCATGGCTGTAAGGCTGGTAATAACAACTTTCACCTGGTGAAGCAAATGAAGATTGTGTTACTACTGACTTGGACGTCGCGTGGTTACCAAAATGAAGGTAGTAATCTTTTAAAATCTATAAAATCTTAGTTATTTATTTTAATTTTAAAATATGTTTTTAATCCTTACGTCAAATAGTGTTGTTTTATATAATTATTTATCTCAAAGTTATGTTATAACCGTAACATATGATGATGAAAACTGCCTTCGCGAACCCGATAAATTGTGAACATGTGTATTTCAGTATCAGCATTTTCTGTAATTAGTAACTGCTCCGATTAGTTTATCTCTTCTTTGTATTAAGTATGAAACCGTTTGTTGGCTGTTGCTGAGATGTGTTAATTTAACACCGATGAGGGGTCTAGGAATGTCATGTAATATCACAATCTTTAGAGTAATCGTTATGTGTACTTGAAATGCAGAGAACATTTTATGTTGACAGTTTCCAGATAATATGAACCAGTTCAATCCATTAATTAGTAATTTACACAGAATGATACTGAGTCTAATCATCAAACTGTAACTGCTCAACGTCTAACATAGAATTCTACATCTTATCCCCCAAAACTCGCTCTTGTACCCTCAAATTGTCCCAGCACCTGTCCCAGTTTTGTAGGTACATGTTGTAGAATTTGGTAATTAACAATCGAGTGGATAGTACGTAAGAGGTAGATTTAGTTTCATCTTTGCAGTGTACTAAGTTAGTGGTGAGATACATCACGTTTATTCCAAAAAAAATATCTTTTTGAAGAAAAAAAAAGTCCTGTATTTAATAGTTTAATGATTCGTTAAAATTTCTATGTAATTCTAATGTATTTTGAACGTTCACTGCCATCAACACATAGATACTTGAACTTGAATTACAATTCTAATAACTTTTCTCAAAAAAATTTTTTAGGGCATTATTGTGTGTTGATGGTCATCTGTTCTTTTCCAAAATATGGCAATCATTCGTTTAAAATCAACTCTAAATAACAAAAAGTCAAAATTTGAATGTGTTGGATGGAACACAATTTAGCTGAATACCTCATAACATGTATCCAATAAACAAAAATTTTCCGAAATCTTGAAACTTTTTTTTGCTATTGCCTTTGATATAAAAGCATGATTTTTAGAACCTATTATTGCTACCACTAATGATAATTAAAAATTTCTGTAATCTACAAATTCATTTCAGCTCAACGTTTCCTACCCGGCTACGGGATGTCAAAAGCTTGTTGAAGTAGCTGATGAACACAAATTGAGAATTTTCTATGAAAAACGAATGGGTGCAGAAGTAGAAGCTGACTTGCTGGGAGATGAATGGAAAGGTTATGTAGTTCGTATTGCCGGAGGAAACGACAAGCAAGGGTTTCCCATGAAGCAAGGCGTTTTGACAAACGGTAAGTAGGCTTAAAAAAAATTTTTTTTTCTGATTATCAACGCTGTAAAGGCAGGGAAAGAAAGTTGAAAATATGTATCATCAGGTGACTGTCAATTTGTGATCGTTCAGATCGTTGTGATTTTTTTCCCTATTATGAGTAACTGACACATTCAATTTTTCTAGTAATATTATCAATTAAGTTTATGATTTCATTCAATTTAATAGTTTCTGTAAAGTGTCCAAATAACTCACAAGTTTTGTATATCTATTAAATATGATCAATCCTTAAATAATTTATGTAACATCTTACACTTTTATAATTCTTGAGTAGCTCTCGAGAGAAGTAAATCACTGTCTTGTAAGTTTTTGTTGGAAACTGTTTATTTTAGTAAAGTAATTTGCTGCATCATACATTATTAGAGAGACCAAGTCATATTCAACAAAAATAAATACACTTTAAGCCAGGAGTGAATTCGGTGAATTAGTCTTTTTATATTTATTAATTTTGTATTTTATACTCACTCCTACATAATTATCTAGTATAAAGTAGAACAAAATCAAAGAAGCCGCAGATGAAAGTTGAATTATTCATTCTGAAGATTAAGTGTCTTGTCTAATTTGCTTCTACTATGATAAAAGGAGTAAAGTAAGCCTAACACATGCTAAATGGAATAATAATCAATTCTCACCATTTTTAAACATTTTTGGTATTGTATGTATCTCTTGGAATGTTCAAAATAAAACCAATAATACAATAAAAAAAAATTTCGTTTTTAAAATGAGTTATATTTTGGCTTGTATTTCTGTCAACCAGACCCTTCTTATATTATTTAATGGTAATAATACAAGTCTACATTTTTTATTTGGCTAGATTTTTCAAATTTCTACACATGTCAGAATACTTTTTAACACTTAAAAAAATATTAGTTTTTTTTCGTATACTTTTTGTTAACAACTAAACTTGCTTTGTTGCAGGTCGTGTTCGATTATTATTATCAAAAGGGCACTCGTGTTATAGACCACGTCGTGATGGAGAACGTAAACGAAAATCTGTTCGTGGTTGCATCGTAGATGCTAATTTGTCAGTTTTGGCTCTTGTAATCGTTAAAAAGGGAGAACAAGTAAGTTTAGGTTCAACATTTAATAAATATCAAAACTTATACAGATATTTAAATGTACATAAATAATTAACCTAAAATAATATTTAAGTCTGCCAACTGGTCAACAATTTTTAACCATTAAATTTTTTCATAAATTTAGTCATGTACATGTTCTTGTAAAAACCGTTGTCTACGAATAGAAAAGAAAATTCATTTGGATTTGTATGAGATAAATATTCTACTTAACATAGTACAACATTTTTCTGGGTCGGTTTGAATGAGTTAAGACCTTATATTTTGTGTACATTCTTAAATTATAAATATTTCTCAAGTAACACTTTAGTTGAAGATGTGTATTCGTGCAGTACTCTGTGTTCACTCATTTACAAACTTTTTATCTCTTCTCTGGTTACAAAAAATTCATTATTCTTATACAGAATATCACAGTTGAATGGGGAAAGATCTTTTGACCAATCGGGTGTTGGCTTTATTTATTTACACGACAAAAAATGTAATTGATTACATTTCAATGTTTTGCTTATATCTCCTGTTTTACTACACCTAGAAAAGTTTGAAGACTATTCAACTTTTTTCTATCAATTTTATGTGAAGTAGAATATATTAGGAACTGAATATTAGTCACTTATCATGCGTCAATGGCAAAAAAGTGCAAAAAAAAATTTTGCACACCAAAAAACTATAAGAACACTTGTAAAAAAGATTTCCTTTTAAGTCATTATTATACTACTAAGTGAAGAATAATATAAATCATTCCGACATCTGATTTTTCACATTTCGCTGTATGTTCTCATTCAATCTTGTTTAGTTTAAGCTTAATTTATTCTTTCAATCGTCAAGAATATGCGGTTACTGTTTTTACTATTTTTTTCTTCTTCTCTCTTTGATAAAATAGCTAGTCAGATAAAGGATATAAAATTATACAAAGTAATTTTATTGATAAGATAGCTAAGAAACTCCGATATTACTTTGTTGGATAAGTAGTTATTTGTAGATTTTCAGCATTAGTAAGTGGATGTTTATAAATTAATTTTTCAGAATGAAACTAAAACGAATTATTCCAATCGTTATTGGTGATATATCCACATTTCGTCTTAATAACAGTATTGTATTCAATAAAAATAATAAGTATTTAAAAACATAAACAAAAAAATCAGAACAAAGTAAAGAACAAAGAACAAAAGTAAAAGGTAAGCATGTTTCCTGTGCTTACAATTACTAATACACATATTAAATTTATTATTATCAAAGCTGATAGTTATTTATTTAAAAAAAAGTGTCGTCAAAAATGTATCCATGAAGTTGTCGGCTAAAGTCATAAAATCAATAGGAAACTGACATGTTTTCTTTGTTACAATTTTATCGTAGAAAACTTATTAGTAATTAACTATTATATTTGATTAAAAATACTTACCCACTTTTTTAAGTTTTCATTACAAACACTTAACTGTGTTTTTTTTGTGAAGTTACAAATATCTAAATTTATTCGCTATGCGCCTATATCAGGTGGCGCCATTGAGGAAGAGAAATTGTCCCTCGCTAAGGTCGCCAGTATGCATGGAGTCTTATAGGAAAATTTTTTAATAAATTAAAAAGAAGGTCATTAAGAGTGAATTGACCAAATGAATCAGTGATTTGAGTGTGTCTTATGTTAGTGTACAGTAATAAATTTTGTTTGGTGTTGCCATGTGTACTACAAGATTGGAAAAAATGAAAATATGGATTGTGACTATGAGAACACAGCATATTTAAGTGCATGTACATACTTACACTTGTGTAAAGCTAAAAAAATACAAGTAATCCATGGAAACGTAGTATAAATGTGTAAAAGTTAACCTAACCTGTCATTAGCATTAATTTTTATTGAACACTGTGTTGTGAAAAATAGATAAATGTAAGCAGTACTTGTGTTTCTCAAGCTCCATATGTGTCCCAAGCGTCCATAGTGCAAGCATGTGCATACGCATATATATGTTGTGTTAGCACAGTCGCAATCCATGTTTATATTTTTTCCAATTTTGTAGTACACATGACAACACCAACCAAAACTTAATACTGTACATTAACATAATACACACTTAAATCACTGATTCATTTGGTCAACCCGTTCTTAATAAACTTTTTATTAACTTATTAAATAGTTTTCCTATAAGGCTCCATGCATTCTGGCGATTTTAGCGAGGGACAATTTCTCTCACTCAACGGCGCCACCTGACATAAGTACATAGTGAATAAACATCAAGTAAAAAATACAAGTATTGCAAATGTTCTTTACATCATCACAAATTTAAAAATGCAAACAATAGTCAAGTGAAATAGGTTGATTCGTGGCATGAAAAAAAACATGAAATCGCGAACTTAATTATGAATTTTTTTTTGTTGGATAACAATATAAATAACATATTACGTTTGAACGCTGATCCCAATAGGGCAAGATGGTTTTTGAGATTTATGAAAAAAACTATGCATTTGAAAAATAAAGTGTTATCTAGGAAAAAATGCGCATTAAAAATACGATTTAAACCATTTTTTTTTCAGCTGTGATCAGCCCAGTAATTTTTTAGTAAGTTGCAAAAAACCGCTTTTTTGGCCATTTTTTCAGAAGTCCATAACTATTAAAAATGAAGACTTGAAATTTTGACAAAATATGTTTTATAAGCCATAATTATCCATACAACATTTTAGCAAAATCGATGTTATACTTTTCGAGAAACTTTTAAAAAACTGAAGAAAGGTACTAAAACGGCTATAAAAAAGTTTTGGGCCAACGTAGACCAATTTTTCAAACGTGCTTTTGTTAATTGACACTTGCTTTACAACATCCTGCAATGCCGTACCATAAGGTAAAAGCACCAGTACGTGAAGACTTCCTAAAATTGCACCTGTAGATTGAACAGCATGAATAAACTATTTTCAATTTAAGTGGATAAAAAAAGAAAAAAATTTCTGATCACCTTCGATCGTTTTTTAGATAAAATAAAATTTATATTTCAGTAAGTCTTCATACTCAACGAAAAAAAAATTATTTATTCATGCAACTTGTATGAGGTGGCTTGTGAAACTGTTCAGGTACTGGTACCATTAGGTTTTACCTATGCCCAGTACTCGAACACATAAAAACGATTGAAATCACTGTTAATCAAAAATAATAGTAAGTTAAGCCGGTCGTTATAGTTTTTATAATATGTTACCAATGAAATTAAAAAGAAGCTTTTCGATTTGGTTATTTGCAATACATAATAAAAATAGAAATCAGTAGAAGGCAGCTAACATAACCTCTTTTTTTCTTTTTTTTTTTTTTTTTTTTTTTGGAAAAAATATTAACTTATTGGCGCAATGACTGTTTTGTTGTTATGCAAATCAGAAATTCAATAAAAATGAGAAAACAAAGACTTTATGGAAAAACTGTTTACGTACTGGTGCTTTTATCTTAATACGCAGCTAAAGTGAGAAAAAAAGTGATGTTAAAAAAGGGAACTTTCGTGGTCTGGTGGTGGGGGGCTGCCGTGCTCGCATTGCGGTTATAGCTAAAAATCCACAAAATTTTGACTATTTTTTTTGGTGTATAATATGTATGCATGACATCACTCTGTAAACTGAACTGCTGTAAAAGTACAAAATACTGTGAAGATTTAAAACTGTTTGCACATTTAAGTTAAGGCCCCCAAATGCCATTTGAAAAATTACTTTTTTAATGACTAATAAGTCGCGTTAGATCAACGTTGTAAAAAGTAACCTTTACATACTTTTACATAATATTACAGACTTACTAGAAGTGATAAGAAAAAAAAAATCGCCACTAATAATTATTCTCCGTTAATTTCGATTGATTTCGAACTTCCTAATCTGCTGGATTTTAAAAGTAATGTCTTATCAATGTTGTTTGATTGCACGTGACACATACACATGTAAGTATGTGTATTACTATAATCATTGCCTTTGTGGCTTTGAAACGGTTTTTTGCAATTTACCAACAAACTACTCGACCAATCGGAGCTCATAAAAACTCCAAAGAGCCCTAAAGAGCCCGAAAGAGCTCGAAAGAGCTCGAAAGAGCTCGAAAGAGCTTAAAAGAGCTTAAAAGAGTTGAAAAAATAAATTTTTTTGAGCTCTGATCGGTCCAGTAGTTGTTAAGTAAATTGCAAAAAACACTATAGTTTTCTCCATATATCACAAAAAAGTGACTTGGACAATTTTGGCTATTTTTTAAAACCATTTTAACCATCTTGCCACATTGGGAGGGATCAGCGTTCAAACTTAAATATGTTTTTTATATTGTTATTATCTAACAAAGGAAAATTTTAAAAGTTGAGTTCGCAATTTTATGTGAGGGATTTGCTAATTTTACCCGACACTATCTACCATTTTATCACAAAAATTCAACTAGTCAACTAGTAGATCAAGTTTTTATTTGTGTCATGTAACTAAATATATGCAAAAAAATTCACTAGGAAACAATCAAACTTAAAAATTTTTCAACGTTATAAAATTCTGGCCATACAATTCTATTTTTTTCGCTTTTAAGTAACAACGAAAACACGTATCCCAAGAGTATATTTATGAGTATCACAACAAATAAACTTTTTCTAATAGAAGACAAGAAGCTCTTTCTATTTGAATCATTAATCTTCTATTACAAACTTTTTTCGATTTTTTATTGACGTGTCGGTGTCTCATGCACGAATTTCAAGTCATCTTGCAATTACTGCTGGCCTTTCAGTAGGTTGGTTTAACCTAACCCTTTAGTGCAGTATCGTAGTTAAAAGTTGTGTTTACCTTGTCCACGATATTCATTGTTTAAAACGTATGTGGGTATTTTTAAAGCAAAAATATGGCAATAAAAAAAAAAAAAAAAGTGTCAGTGATGTAAAAAATAATGTGAAAAATGTTGCTACGCTCAAGAAAAAAAACTTTAAATTATAAGATTCTTTTATATAACACGAATAAAATATCAGTAACTATATTAGTACCTCTATTAAAGTGTTAAACTGTGTACCATAGTA